TGAGAATGGAGTTTCACTCTTGTTGCCCAGGCTGGAGTGCAATGGATGATTCTTGGATCACTGCAACCTCTGCCCTCCAGGTTTAATGATAATTCTCTAGCCGTACAGACATCACCCAATAGCTGGATTGCAGGCACCACCACACACTTCTCAGCTATAATAATTTGTCTATTTTAGTAGAGCGGGGGTTTCTCCATGTGCGCCCGGCCTGATCTTCAAACTCCTGTCTCCATGATCCCTAAGTGCTGGATTACAGCCATGAAGCCACTGCGCCCAGTCAAACATGTTTAATGGCACTGTTGGTAATTAAATGTTCTAAGGCGGCATTCTACTAAACATTGTGGTTACCACTGTGCTCTCACCCACATGCCCAAATACAAACGTAAATGTGCAGGGCCAGGCCGTGTGGCGCATGCCCTGTAATCCCAGCCCTTCGAGGAGGACTGGAGGTGGGTGGATCACTTGAGGTCAGCGAGTCAGACCAGCCTGGCCACCATAGTGAAACCCTGTCTCTACTAAAATGTGGAAAATTGCTGGGCCATGGTGGTGCACACCTGTAATTCAGCTACTCAGGAGGCCCCTTGAGAGGAAGAATAGGGGAGGAGGCAGGAGAATGCTTGAAATAGGGAGGCAGAAGGGTTTGCAGGTGAGCCAAATCACGCCACTGCTACTCCAGCCCTGGTGGACAGAGAAATTTAAATTAATTAATATTTAAATACAAATAAAAAATCTTTAAATACAACTAATATGGCAGGGAGGAGGGAAATGTTAAACAGGGGCGAACTGTGATTCCGACCAAACAAACTGAAATTTGGGATAATTGTTAATTTTTCTAAAGCCTTTTTCCTAGAATCCCACAATTAATAAAAGTCATTTACTTTGGGTATCTCCCTAGTGATAACTCTCTTGATAACTCCCCTGTGCCTAGTGCTTTATCACTTTATACGTGATCATGATATTAATGCTTTTTAAAGTTCTACTATATGCCAGGCACCATATTAAAGGTATTAACTCTTTTCAAAAAGCCCCAAAAGTTGCTACAATTATTATCATATCTACATTTTGCTGGGGAGGAAAGAGCCTTGAAGAGGGCAGTCACTTGCCCAAGGTCCTGCAGCCTGTACTGGTACAGTTCAGATTTAAATACAGTTGCCTAATTTGGCTCTAAATGGCATGTCCCTTAACTATTGGGCCTAATCTTTTACCTTGTATTATAGTGATTTGAGTTATTTGGGGTGTTTCTTATCTGTCTAATTAGATCCTAAGTTCCCTTAGGGTAATAATTTTTTCACTCAACTTTGAGTACAATGTATTGCATCCAGCTGGCACTCGATAAATGCTTGGTTCATACATGAGCAAGGCTGCAGTTACTTTGAAGTCACTTCTGACTCCTCTCTTTCCATTTCCAATTTTTCACCAACCTAAATTAATTCATTTTTATCCCCATTTTCCAGGCCTTCATTTTGTTTGCTCTCATCTTGACTTATTCCCTCAGGCCAGACTCCTACAATAGCCTCCTAACCATTCTCCCTGACTCCAATCCATCCTACACACTCATCACCCTAAAATACGATTTAGTCAGATTTCCCCAGCCGACAGGTCTAGACCCTCAGACCCTAGGGTGATCAGGTATGGGTAGAGCTGCTAGACCAACACCTTTGACCAAAAGCAACTTCCTAGAGTGACAATCACAGCTTAGGCTTAGACCGAGAGCGTTTCCAAGGACATGGGAGTTTCAGTGCTCAAACCGGGAAAGTCCCAGGCAAACCAGGGTGAGTTGGTTATGCTACATCCTCCTCCCCATCTCCAAAGTCCCTTCTCTTTACAGCCACGTACTCTACAAACAACACCATTTTCTACTGGTGCCAGGCAAATTGGGAAGCACAGATTTGGATCAACTCAAACCCTCACTCAAAGGCATTCAATAGTTCATGCTCCCTCACATAAAATCTGCTATACTTCACCTAACATTCAAAGCCCTTGGTAGTCTGACCAGGACAAATCTCATCTTCAACTCCTTCCCATCCTGACCCTCTGCTCATTCTCCAGTTTTTATTACCCCACAACTGTATCTTTCCCATTTTCCTCATTTGCCCCTGACTCCACCATCTGGATGACTTTACTGTCCCCATCCACCTATCCAGAGCCATCTTCAAGGATACGGTTAGTGCAAAGCCCCTTCCCAAGCCCAAACCAGTCATCTGGGAAGTCTTCTCCTTTGTCAAAGAGACCAGCACATGAGACCTCCTCCATCTCTAGTACTGATGTGTTGATCTGATATTTTTCTCTTCCAAAACTTAGTTATCCTTCACTATCTTTATAACTTTGTCTCACCAAAATGCAACCTCTCTGATGAGAGGTATTACACCTTATATTTATGTCTCCCACAGTACTCATAATTTCTCACACATTTCTTACACACAATGAACATGCAATCAATATGTGTTTTCAGATAACTGATTAACATTGTCCTCACCCCCTCACCTCCACCATGTGAGGAATTCAGCAATCCTTCTACACAGATAAAGGCTCCGTTTGTTTTTCTTGTGGGTAAATTGCCTTCTCATTATTCTGCCTCCAGAAACTTAGCTCTCTTAAATAAACGCCTGGCAGGAGGACAGAACTGAGAGCAAAGTATGAACATTTCCCTTCCCGAGTGAGAAGAGGGCACAATCATAGCACAGGATGATAGTGGGGGGCTCACAGGAAGAAAACATAACAAAAACATGAAGAAACCACCTTTAAGAAATTGTGGAGAGGGAAAGAGCATTGCAAATATACAAAATGATAGAAAAAACGTAGGGAGAAAAGGACTTCACAGGAAAGGAAAAGATAAAACAAAGCTATTTATTAGAAGACAGTCAGAGAAATGTGCTGAGAGCCCAGCATGAACGCTCAGCTCTACTCTGCGAGGGGCAGCCCCTGTGACCCCCTCCAGGAGGCACCTCCTCCATGCAGACAGCAGGCCTTGAGAGCACATCTGGGGAGCCCTCCCTTGCTCAGACAGATCGCGGCCCCAGTTACCGAACTAAAGGCAGGCATAGTGAACCAATGGAAAATTTCCTTCAGGCAACATAACCTCAGCATAAAAAAAAAACAGTATCGATCTATTTGCCTCCCAGCCAAAGAGAAATCAAGTTAGACAAAGGAAATTAGGCAATAAGTTTAATGTGATTCCAGCTGCAGCTGTGAAATAAACCTGATGTACTCTGACTCTCCTTCCCAAATGCTCTCTGGTTGGCACAGGTCACTTTTTTTGGGAGGGCACCAAGGAAGTGTTCTGCAGGTACATGAAATCTTTTAAACTTAGAAGTCAACCGCCTGCTGGTGTTCAAAGAAGCCTCGCCGCCAGAAGGACAGGCTTGGAACCGATGTCCAGGAGTGTTGGCAGATTTGCAGGGATGCAGGCCGTGCTCCTGCCAAGTGCACACTTGTAACCAAGGACAGAACGCGCAATCTGTTGCCCTGGAGCACAGAAAGAAAGCACTGACCTCAGATTCACAGATCTTAGCTTCTATGTGATGAGCTCAGGAAATCAAGGGCCAATGCGAATGTTTGTGGAAACTTGATGTGCATGTGTCTTGGGTGGGTGGCAATATTATATATTTCAAGCACTGTGTGTGCAGTTAGAATGATGAAATAGGTGCAGACTCAAGTCACCAAATAGGTGAATATTCGGCTGTGTTGTCTCAGGGAACTGGAAGGAGTCTGGAGTCTTGTTGTCTCCACTTCCTCCCCCACTGACATTCCAGCTCCAGGCCCACCCCTACTAGGGTTGCAGGGCCTACCAGCTTTGTTTCTGTGACTCTGGTGTGGTAGATCTGGCCAGAGAGCCCTCTGATTGGTGGGCTTACTCTGGCAGTGAGAGCTAGTACCTGGACCATCAGAATCACAATTCAAAAGACAACTGGGGCAAAAAGCAAAAGCCACCACTTCTCTGCTGGCCATGCCCTTTCCACCCTGGTAAAGAATGGGATTATGCCTAATCACTTTGTCTCCACCACCTACCATGTCTCTGGCACATGGCAAGGCCCAAGATACAGTTTGTAATGACTGAATAAATGAATGTGGAACAAGATAAAAGCATAATAGAGAGAAATGGGAATTTCTGCATTTAGTTGCAAAGACCCATACATTTATATGTTTCTATTGGAGAAAATGTGACAGTATTTCATGTAAAACAAATCAGGGGACAGATGGACACCCCAGAGAAACTCTCACACACATATATAAGACATACAGTGTCTGAAATAGTGAAAAATTGCAAACAACCTGAGTGTCCACCAACAAAAGAATATATCATCAATTATGGTATATTCATAAAGCAGAATAGTATAAAGCAGTGAAAATGAATAAAACAAACCTACAACATCTCAACATGGAAAGTCTAACAATTATAATATTAAGAAAGTTGAACAATACATACAGTACAATTCATATGAAGCTAAGAATACACAAAAATTATATATAATATGTATATTATATATTATGTAAATATATAGTCATGCCTTAGAAATGCATCTATATATAGTAAATAGAAAGAAATGCATGGAAATGATAAACACCAAATTAGGTAGTTGTTGAGATGAGGAAGGAGGCAGGCCTGGGAAGGTTAATACACAAGTGTTAGCTATAGTACTCTTTGTACCTTTTGTTTATATTAAAATTGTACTTTTTAAAAAAATTATGGACATTGTAAATTACTGTCTACTCAAAGAGACTTAAAAGTGTAACACAGAAAGCAACCATTTACTATAATCCTAGTCATTTTAACATAAACATCAGAGAAGACCCAATATGTTTTTAAGTTACTCACTGAATAAATGTGGTAAGATATTAAAATCTCATGCAGTTGCTCACAATTACTGTTTTGGATGTACAAGGTGCATTCAAGAAAAATGTTATTTTAAAAAATGCAAAGTTCTGCATTTAGTTATCAAACTAATCAGCCTCAGATATTCCTGCTCTGATGGTATTACAGGTAGGAACATGTCTAGTTCTGGGACTCACATGTTTGCAGGACATGGACAAGTGTGTGTCAAGAGAAGGGAGGGTACAGGAGTAGTCAGGTCATTGGGATTTTGCTACTCATGGGCCTAAGGATCTGGTGAAGAACCTGGGAATGCATATCTCATGATGGGAAGGCTTACTGGGAGCCAATAACTTCTTCAAACATTTGAATGAATAAATGAAAGGACTATCATATGAGAATGTAGATACATTCTGCATAATTCCAAAGGATAAACATGTGAAGGGCTAAGAGGAGATAATTTTTAATGCAACCAAAAGAAGAATGTCCTCATAATTACAGGCATCCCAGAAAGAAATGGACCATTTGGTTAGGTAGTAAGTTCCCTGAAACCAGCAGTAATCAAGCAAACCTATAACATCTGCATTATAGAGATACTATAGAGAACTCCATCTGGGGGCGCTAATTGGACTTTTTGAGTTCCAACGTCTTATCTAATTCTAGGACTCTAAACCAGTGTTTCTCAAACTTGAGTGTGTATCAGAAGTCCCTGGAGGGCTTTGAAAACCTAGATTGCTGGACCCAGCTCCTGGAGTTTTTGAGGCAGCAGCTGAGGTAGGGGCTGAGAGTTGGCATTTCTAAAAACTTCCCAGATGATGTTGATGTTGCTAGTCCAGAAACCATGCTTTGAGAAGGTCTGCTCTTTAAAAAAAAAAAAAAAAAAAAGTAAATCAGCTTAAGTTTTTTGGTGTTTCGGTCAGGCCACTAAAATGCAGGCCCTTCCTTGAATTACTCACTGCCTCCAAATAGACTTCCACTGTAGTCTTCTCGAGGGAGGGGACCATTTTTATAGATGACTTCTTCTAAGGCCTTTGTAGGAAGACAAGGCTCTTTGCTGTACAATAAGAATATAAGGACCCTGGGATTCTTTTCAGATACTGATATTAAATTTCTTTTGAACCATTTTCACTCTGTCCTCTGCTTCCTCCATAACTAATGGCCATAATTTTAAAATAACTGGCCGGAATTAGAGATGAGTCTGAGTCCAAAAAACAGAGTTGTTTGACCCACAGAAGGATCTGACCTGGTGTAAACCATATGCATGGACAGGTCTGGTGACACAACTAGCCACTATCTCTGGGATGCATCTTTGTCAAGCACTGCTTTGGGAAAGAAGACAGAAGTGCTGAGAATTCTCTTCTTTTTAATTCAAAGGGGGAAAAATGTAAAACATGGCTCTTGAACCAGTTCCATGGGCAGATAAAGTTCAGACAAAAATGTTAAATCACACATTTGTCCATTAGTATCTGGTTTCTTCACTCAACAAATGACTATTGAGCTTCTATATATACCTGGAACTGTGCTGAAACCTAGGAATACAGTTGTAAATAATACAAGCAAATGTCAAAGATATAAAAACATAGAATCTATGTCAGGTAGGAAGAAAAATACAGCAGGTGCTTAGTTAGGAAAACCTATGTCTTTCACACAGACTCGCTTGGTGCTTATTTTTTGCCCAATGCTAATGCTGAAAATAAACTGCTTACTCTGGCCAAGCCAAATGATCAGTGATAGAATGGGTTACTGCGATTCATTCTAAGCTGCTTTTCTTTTATAATTTGGGGGAAAATGCAGCTATTGGTGGTAAAGTCCCCAGAAATCATTTCTAGTTCACTTGAAAGGTTCAGTTGCATAGAAATATGTTTAAATAAACAACTTGGAACAAAGAGTGGTTAAAACTGTACGCATACGTAACCAGCAAAGCTAGCTTTTTTCATGCATAGCCCAAACTTTTTTTTTTTTTTTTAAAGCAAATGTCTTCTGAAGGCCACAAAATGAATCTTAGGAGGTTTGTTTGAACAGTTTCACTAGTAATAATTTTTAAAAGGTGTCAGTTCTGGAGGCTCAGGCTCTCTTAACCAAAACAATCCATCTAAGCTTCTTAATTTTAGTCATTCTGAAATTTAGTGGTGAAAATTAAAGGTGTGCAAGAAACCTGGGAGACGGAGTTTTTATATGAAATATAATTCTAATATCTTTTGGTCCTGTCTGAATTAAGTCATTATACAAAGATTTCTGACTCACAGCTATAGCTAATAAGAGCTCCCACTCATTCCACAAACTGACCACCTACTACTATTATCTATTACCACTGACCACCTACTACATGCCAAGTGCTACTGAACACTGACTATGCACCAAGCATCTTATGACACGACCTTAAAGCTCACAACAAAGCTAGGAAATAAATAGCATTATCATGCCCATTTTACAAACAAAAAAATTGAAACTCAGAAAAATTAAATGACATACCCAAAGTCATACCCAGCTCATAAGCGGCAGACTAGGAATTTAACACCAAAGCCTTTCTCTTCACTCTATGGTACCGCTCCCCCAATAGCCCAGATGGCAGGTTTGATTTTGTGTGGATTAGCAAAAGACATTTGTTCCTCAAGGTGCTTTGCTATCATATGCTAGAAAACTGGCATAGTTACTACCTGTGTCTATATCTAGCTATCTTACTATCCACATATATCCGTGGTAACGATGATGTGAAGAGTGCCCCTGTAACTGTGCAAAAGCACAACCTGAACCACATTAGGCAGCAGCCCTGACACCATGTTGCAGCCCTGACGTTGTGTTATAAGACATCACAGTGACAAATCATGGCATAAATCATATTCATTTCCACTTATGCACCCAGGACAAGACCCACACAATGCACACTGGGATGCTTGTGGGTGTGGGGAGTGGCAGGCGCATTAGTGACAGACACTCTCAGAAACAGGCGTGAAAAGCAGCATCTTCAGGCTGATCAACTGTTATAAGCAGGAACCCAGGCTGCTGTGCTGATGTGCATGTGAGTGTGTGTGTGCGCACGCTTTCTTTGAGGAAGAGGAGGATTATAATGCACAAATGAGTCAGAGGATACACAATGTGCAACTTCAAGGGAAAATGCCTCATAGCTTCTGTGAGACAGTCACTGGTGATGTAGCTATCCTAATAAGCCATAACCATCACTCTTTGCCAAAGGGTACCTGATTCCTCCTTTCTTCTCCCTCCCCACGCCCTACAATCCCTACCACCCAAGGATGACAGTTATTCTTCCCCCGCTTTATTTCACACAAAAGGCCCCCTCTAGAATCCAGAAGGGCACCATCATAAGCTGCAAGCCATTACTCTTCACTGAATATAAAGTTAAATTCATTTATCTCCATCTTCAATGAGAAAGGGAAGGAAATTAAGCAGGAAAGATGGCACAATGCCTTCAAGAATGGTGTATTCAAGGTCAAAGCCTGCCATAATTGAGTTAAAAAATAATAAATGAAAACATGTCTGCTCTGCAGAATACGGTCCAGCTAGAAGTCTTCATTAAATGTTCCAGTACACACAATGTGTTAGCTGTGTGTTTGTGTGCTTGAGATTCTGTGAGATACCCTGTAGCTCATAAATACTGAAAAGGGACAGTTACCATAGTAACTAAGTGCTATTTAATGAATACCAAAGAACTGAAGCTCCGAGGATAGTTTTAAATTGCCAGAACATGAGTTACTGCTGCAGCTATGGGCTTGCAAGTAACTGACATGCCACTCTCTCTAATAAGATTTTTAACAAGTTGGCCAATTTGCCTGATCTCCGTCTTGACCACATGACACCACAAGATTCTGTTTTAACATCACATGAAAAGCATGTTCCTGATTTCTTCCCCTGACTCCAGGTATCAAGATCTTCTACAGAAATGGGTCAAACATTCAGAAACTGAAAACATCCTTAAATTTGAAGCTTTGACCCAAGTAGTGAAGCAGTAGGACACATACTTCCATCATAAGCAATAGACACCAGCTCAATGAGCCGTCAAGCTGAATACAGCAGGCTCTTTTATTTCCGAAAAAGGTGAATGCTCCCTTTACACTAAATGCAGTTTGTTCTTTATTGTGCAATGACACAGAAGAGCTATTGCAGTTGATTTTTGCAGGAACTTTTTACAGGCTAGTGACGTCTTAGGTAATCTTTCATCAGGATGTCCAAACCTTCCCTACTACGCCCACTCCCAATTCTCTCTTGCCATCCATCACCATATGTCAAATTCCTCACCTTGGAATCATCTCGCTTTTTACAGATTTAAAAGGAAAAAATAAGCATGGCTGCCCTGCTTTTCTTTCCACTGGTCTCCCCTGGTAACTCTAACGTGGTCCATTTTTAAGGCTACAGATTGTGTGGCAAGCACACTTACGTCTACATGCCATTAATAAGTAACAAGAATTTTAAAAACGAAAACATCTGTGTACCATGAAGCCAAAAATCATTAGCAAATGCATCCGTTCTCCAGGGGCTGGCTTGTTCTTGCATAACCAGCAGCTCGAATGGCCTGGTTGGAGCCAGCCGAGCTCAGTGTGGGCTGTGGGCGCCCCCTTCAGCATCTAGGGTACAATGCATGTTGCTTTCCTGTTAGATACTAACGAGTCGGCTGGGCAGTTATTTTTGCTAAAACCGTTTGAGGAAATTTTGTAGGAAAATTTGGGCCAATATCTAATGCTGTGGTGAGACAAAAAGCCTGCACATTACCAGCCTGCATTTAATGTTAAAATCAGGCAGGTAAAATTTAAAAGGGAGGCCTTTATTACAAGAAGAAAAAAAAACCCTATAGATATATTCATTTATTCATTTGATTAAATAACACTTCTCTACAAGGTGAACTCTATTTAAAATTGCCTCTGTCTGTGATAAACACAATTGAAAGTGGAGACAGCCACAACCTCTTCACCTTCTCATTTCCTTCTACAGCCTGAACCTGTTCTCTCTGTGGTGCAATCCCCAGCCTTAACTGCTTCCTCCTGGAACCCCCTATCAATGCCTTGGTTTATCTCACCTCCATGTTTAGTCTTGAGTCACAGAGCCACGTTATCTACTCACCTTTCTCATACGATTTCATGTCGATGACTGCTCTAACTCCACAAGGATCTTTCTTCTTCGAACTTCTAAGGCATCTTGTTTCTGCCTCTCGTGTGATATTCTTAACCCATCCCTTCTTAGGCTGAGAATATTTGACTTTACATCTCCTCTCCTCTCCTAGACTGTCAGCTTCTTAAAGGCAGGGCGTGGCTGTTGTATAAGCTTGACCCTCAGCCTGCAGCTTGCCGAGGTGCTCCTGTGCAGAGGGAATTTGTGAATGAAGGAGCACACAAAGGTAACTCTTTTGACTTCATTTCTTCTAAGAGCTCTGCTTAACAAACTCATTGCTCCCAACCTAAAATATGAAGGGGCACTTAAAGAAAATAAGACCAGTGAGACAGTTCTTCCTCCTCTCCTTGGTAATAAATCTTTTCTACTTAAATTCATCTTTATCTATTCATTCTTTCAACACAGTCATGTATTGATCACATGCAGTAAGTAAAAAGCATGAAATGGGAAGATGCTATTCTTACTTTTCCTCTCACCATAGCCGGTGCTGAATAAAATCTTTCTAATTTTCATTTATGCTATTTCTTAGTCCTGCCAATCTTCCATGCAGTGTGGAAGACTGCATCCTTCTCATTCACCTGTTCAACATTTATTGTGCTTCTTCTCTGTGCTGAACCAAGCTAGGCCTACGTCATATAGGATCAATTAAAACAAAAATCGAGAGCATAACTCCTCACTCCTTAAGTATGGACTGTACATGGTAACTTCCTTCCAGAAAATACAACATGGAAAGGGGTGGGGGAAACAGCTGTATGGTGGAGAAACCTGGAAAATACCACCTCAGCCAGTTCATCCAGGTAAACACCAGTAGTGGTAAGTCGTGCTCACAGTATGTCTTTTGATACGATGTGATGACAATGGTTCTTTACTTCTGTGACCTTCCTCCCCCAAACCCACAACCAGAGGCTTATAATGAGAAAAACATCAGGAAAATTACAACAGAGGCCATTCTACAAAATACCTGATCGATATTCCTCAAAACTGTCAAGGTCATCAAAATCAAAGTCAGAGAAATTGTCACAAGTCAGGGGAGCCTAAGGACACAGGACCACTAAATGCAATATTGGATCCCGGAAGGGGAAAAAGGCAAAAACTAAGGAAATATGATAAAGTATGGATTCCAGTTAATAATAACATATCAGTATTGGTTCATTAATTGTGACAAGTGTACCATACTAATGTAAGATAATAATAGTGGCAACCAGTATGGGGTACATCGGAACTGTCTGGTACTATCTTTGCAACTTTTCTGTAAATCTAAAATATTCTAAAATAAAACATTTATTTTAAAAAATGGAACTAGACCTCAAGAATATTAATGAGAAAGAAAAGGAAGACAGATGGTGGTACAGGATTGTAAGTGGGTTTGCGGGATTCAGTAGAACTCAGGCTGCAAGGTGAGAAGAGGCAGACGGTGACGATGGTAGGGGTAGTGTCTAAGGACAGTGGAAAGCTATGGATGATTCATGGACAGTTAGAAAAGTCTAAAAATATTGTTGCACTTCAGAAAGGTCCTAGTTGAGGTCATCAGCATAAATTTTGGTCGGGAACAGCCAGCCCAGATGAGCAACTTTCTCATAACAACCAGGCCAAGAATAGAGAAAGCTGGTGCTATGATCGACCCAGATAAGGGCTCAGCATACAGTTTCTGCAACAATCTCTCTCCCTTAACGTGAACGACAACAAACATGTTTTCTCCTTGAATTCTTCCAGATTCATTATTCTATGAAGCCTCCTCTTCAACAGCCCCCTTCTCTCCTTTTTCCCACATTCTGCAATTGAAGAAAATGAATAATGATAGTGCAAAACTATTCTGATGATGGTTTAGAGGAAAATGTTAAATTAAAGGATTAAAGAAGCAAGATATAGAATAAGTCAAATATGTCAAAGAAATCCAAAGGAGGCTCAATCAATTCAATATACCCTGAGATTTTTCCGCTTTTCAAAAAAACAATAAAACAAGAAAAGAAAAACAAAAAGGTCACCAGCTTTTTAAAAGGATCTGGAGTCAGAGAAATAGAACCCCATGGTTCATCTGCCTTTCGATCACCACAGGCTAAATAGCTGAGAACACCTAAAAATGAAAATGTCCTGCAAAGAATGAAACTAGTCAAACTAGAGAAATAGAAAATAACCATAATAATACATATCTTGTCTTTGTGTAACACGTTCTTAGTTGACAAAGCATTTTCACATGTATCTCATGTGATTCTAACCAAAACTTTATGAGGTAGGCATAACAATTCTCAATGATCCCATTTTACACATGAGAGAGTGGATTTTCAGAGACTTTAAATGGCCTTTGATGGGTCTGGGATCAGAACCTACACATTAGGCTCTGGGGCTATGCTGGTTTTCCTTATGTCTGGCACCGAGGTGTACACAATCAGCACACACAGATAAAGAAGCTTCATGCTAGTAAGATAATGCAGAATATGTATCTTTCTCCCAAAAGACACATCTACAAAAACGTTAATATTTAATTTTGTTATCATTATCGTGATAAATATATTTGATCATTAATGCGATAAATAATGTCCTTCATAAAGTGAAGGATGGAAATCATACAAAAAATGTGAAAGAACTTACAAGAGAAAGCGATGGAAAGAAATGTAAAAACATAGGAGCTTTTTAGTTTGACCTTAAGTTAGTTATTCTTAGACTAGAAATGAGGGAAATTAAGCAGGTAATATATATAGACCTTTAAAAAAAATCTACACATCTGGATCATTATGTGCTATTCTGAAACAACTGAATAGGAAAAGAAGGGTAAGACAATGTTATAGAAATCAGTAGCAAAACTTGTGAGAAAGCGGTCTAAATTTATATAGTCTAAAAACATGACTCAAAGAGACATAATCGCAGCCTATAAATATCCTCCAAGCAGCAATAGGTGGTAAATAAAGTGAATTATTCACAACCTTGGGTTCAGGTCATCTCTCTTTGTCCAGTTGTCTAGGGAAGACAGTGCTCTACCCCTGAGCTGGTGTCATCCCTAGAAATTAAAACGGCAGACGAGGGCTCGCCAGGCTGGGCCCTGTTGGAGATACTCAGGTAGAGGATTCAAAAGAAGAAGCACATCGAATGGCCTCCTGAGATTCTCCATATTATTAAGAATTAGACTGGAGAGTCTCACCACACAATAAAGTGTTTTCATTTTTTCCCTCACCTTTGATAAAGAATGACAGAGAATGAAATCAAATCCAAAAATGCTTTTAGCTATTGGCCCACCTGATTGGAAGACAAAATGGAATATGAAAAATCAAGAACATTATAAAGTGCTCTGCTTTGCTATCAGCAGACAACAGGGTACTGAATCTCATGAAAAATCATCCAAGTTTATGAAGTCGAAGTCACTAGGTCAGGGTTCTCATAGCAAACCTGTCACTTACGCTGTTGCACAGCTCCAGTTTTCTCATTGTCATAAGGTCATCAGTAGCTGTCTCTCCTGGTAAAATCACATTTAAGACACCAAAACATTTTAAAAACCCACTGAGAACTGTGACATACAGATTATTACTGATGATTAACATTAGTATGATGTTCCCTGATGTTATGCTTCAAAAACATCATTTTCCACAAATATTTCTGTCACAGAATAGTTTTCTCCCTTTTGAAAATTTCTAGGTTTTCAGATTAAAGCTCACGATCTCCTTAAGCCACAAGTTATTTCAAAAGGTCTGCCTGAGCCCAGCCCTTGAAGCAGCCTAAATGGTTTGAATTACAGCCAAGATGGCCCTGGGCAGGCCCCTGCTGGGTGTACAGCAGCCCTCTGTAGAGTGATACTTTAAATATCAAGAGTTCTCTAAACACAGCATGCTCATTTCAGCCACAGAGCAATCAAAATCCAAGCAATTTTTTTTCCATTGCCTTTCCAAGCACAATTTTTCTAGCCTTGTAGAGAAGCTGCCTACATTTGGTTTTGCTTGTCTTCATTTTGCATGTAACTATTTTGTATGCAACCAGATATTTAGTCCTTAAATGGGCAATAGTTCCTTATTAACATAAGAAAGACCTTGAACCGTGTCTTGTTGTTATCTTAAGATATTTATGTAAATAAGATGTGTATACCACCCTTTAGGGCATTGCATGGATCTTAACCAGCGATGAGGTGATATGCTGAAGTGTTTAACTGAAGGCTGCTTGCTTGCTATGACTACGGTCTGCCAGCCACGTGAACTGGTCCCTGAGTGCGAAAAGTGGGTGCCCAGAGAGTGTCAAGTGGAAAAAAACAAGGATTTTCTGTAGGAATATCTGCAGCTTGTTTTCAGGCTTACAGTGATGGTACCTTAGTGCTTCAAATGATCATTGTTTTCCCAAAGGTAACCCAGGAGCACTTCAATTGAAGCTGGGCCTTTGTGACAATATTAGCCCAAGAAACTGTAGACTTTTTTTTCTTACTACAATAAAAACCCTAATAGACTTTGAATAAATGTCTGTACAAGGAGGCAGAAGTCCATGCGAGCGCACGTACATACAGACTATTAAAGCATTTAATGGGATTTTCTCCACTACAACTGCAAAGTACATGAAAAACACAAATTAGGCTGCAGGTGTTGCCTGTGCTAATGTCCTATAAGGAGACAATAACAGAGCTCCAGCCTCTATTGACTGCTTTCCTGAGTTGGTGGAATTTGCCAGACCTGCAATATTAACATAGAATTATGGAAATTGGAAACAAAAAGCTGGAATCTACTAGGAATGACAGGCTGAAGATGAACTCAACTGGAAAATTTGGCTAACTGAAAGTGACATCCTTTGTGCTGGAATTTTTCTATCTGAAAGCTTTAAAAAGGCTGTAATTATTTTGAGTTTTCAATTCAACCCTTTTCAAACTAAGCCTTTTATTTCCTTCGTCACTCTGTACCTTTCTTCCATGTGAACTCGGGCATTTGCCAGGCACTGAAATGGTAAATTCATATTGGTTTTATATACAGATCCATTGTCAGAGAATGCAACACAATTTCTGCATCCTCTATGCCAAGAAAAACAAAGGAATATTTGCACATCAAAACCTTTATCTTGTGTACAGGCTCAAAGTACCTGAGCACAGCTAAAGAAGTCATCTAAGGAGAAATGGCTGATTAATGCCAAAGCATTATTTCTTTGCAAGTTAGTGCATTTTCTCCATGATGAAGCCAAGGAATACAAGAACTTAGACTTACCTTGTGGCTTTTGGGTCCCAAATAACAATGTCAGCATCTGATCCTACAGCTATTCTTCCTTTTCTTGGATAGAGGTTAAAGATTTTGGCTGCATTTGTGCTGGTAACTGCCACAAATCTGTTTTCATCCATTTTACCACTGTGCTGTAAAGCAATTCAAAGAATCATTCTAATGATCAAATACTAAAAAGTATCCTATCAATAAAATGACAAGACATGCATCTCTTAAACAAACAGAACTACACCTAATTTCTTATATCGTGGAGCATCTGAGGATGCTGATAAGTATTAAACAGTCATAATGCTAATGATGGAGACGATGGGGTAACATATGGAAGCCTGAAGATGACTTTTCAAAAACCCCATTAATTAGCATCCACACTAATTCTTCCCATTCATCCTAGAATCACAAAAATTGGTATAGGTGACAGCTAGATTTTGGTAATGGTATTTTCGATTCTCATTTAAAGTTTGACAATACCACATTTATGATCTGGCTTATTTATTACAGACCTAAGATTTATGAGATAATCATGTAGACATTAGATAGAATATTATAGAGTGAGAATAGGTGATAATTTTTTTTTTTTTTTTTTTGGAGACGGAATTTCACTGTCATTGCCCAGGCTGGAGTGCAATGGTGCGATCTTGACTCACTGCAACCTCCATCTCCCAGGTTCAAGTGATTCTCCTGCCTCAGCCTCCCAAGTAGCTGGGATTACAGGCATGCACCACCACACATGGCTAATTTTTTGTATTTAGTAGAGATGGGTTTCACCATGTTGGCCAGGCTGGTCTCCAACTCCTGACCACAGGTGATCCACCCTCCTTGGCCTCCCAAAGTGTTGGGATTACAGGCGTGAGCCACTGCACCTGGCTGACAACATTTTTAAATCAGTTGGCAATGCTTTTATTATTTTTTAAAGAATATTATAGAGTGAGGATAGAGGCCAACACTTCTGGATCAGGTGACAATCCTTTTTTTTTCATTTTTTGTTTTGAGACATGGTCTCACTCTGTTGCCCAGGCTGGAATGCAGTGGCGTGATCATGGCTCACTGCAGCTTTAACCTCCCTTGGCTTAGGTGATCCTCCCCCTTCTGCCTCCCAAGCATTAGGTTGGTGCAAAAGTAATCACAGTTTTGCCATCACTTTTAATGGCAAAAACTGCAATTACTTTTGCACCAACCTAATAGCTGGGACTACATGGTATGGTATGCCTCACCATGCCTGGCTAATTTTTTGTAGAGATGGGGTTTCACCATGTTGCCCAGGCTGATCTGGAACTGTAATCCTAACACTTCAGGAGGCCGAGGCAACCCACCTGCCTTAGCCTCCCCAAAGTGTTAGGATTACAGGCATAAGCCACCACACCCAGATGCAATCCTTTTGAAAAGATAAAAAAATCAACTCAAGAGGTTCAATTTTATGCAATTGAAGTTTTGCATGAACCAACAATTACGGATAGTCTATTGCAAGAGATTTTAATATGGACAGAATTCAGAGGGATGTGGCTCCTCTAAAATAAAATTTAAAAGTGTTAGGGGTTTATCCCTATTTACATGGTAAGAGGGTACTTAAGGTTTATTTAATTACCAAAGAGTGCTTGCCTTAAAAATCACTAAGAACCATGCCCTGAAAGTAATATTTCCATAAGTAAACCATACTAATGTTTCATAAAATGACATGGTTTTCTATATATTATGAAGAACTATTCAGTCACTGTAAAGCCATTTATATACCAGGGAACTATATGGATGATGAAAACCTGCTATAATAAAGATATTCATTGTAATAACAGAAGTTCAAGTGGAAGGTTGAACTGTTATCAAGAAAATCTGAATGAAGAGAAGTCGTCGGGGATGGTTAGAGTTGGGGTTGGAGGAAGAGGGGGTAAGGAAAATAATCAGCAGAAGATGGGGCTATAGAGATGCTTTGAAGATCTAATTGTAAGTTAATGATTCAACTATCATCCACTAAGTGATGGAGACAAGTAAAGGGTTTTTAAGAGAACAATAGCACAAACAGAACTTTATTTTTGAATGAGAACTCCCATTCGAAACCTATCCTCCCTCTATAATACTGTAAAAATAATAATAAAAGCATTGTCAGCTGTTCTCAGTACAGAACAAGAGTTCTTGTACTGGAGTAAAGAATACATTGTAGCAAGTGAGACCCTAGAGATGGGGACCAGCTGTGAGATTACTGCAAAGGTCCAAACAAAATATGAGCCTCCAACTAGAATGGCAACAATGAAGAAAGAAATAAGGAGACACTTTGGAAATAAAATTGACAAGACTTGGTGAATAATTCATTAGAGTTAGAAGTAGGTGGTATGTGTAGGGTAAAGGCAATTGAAGAGGATTCTGAAGTGTGAGATGTAATTAATGTGTCATTCAAGGGAGGCATCCTAGGAGATGGGTGAGAAGGGCATGACACTGGGGACCAGAAATCTAACCACGCAAGTCCCCTCTGCTGGTCTTCACAGCTCCACATGTCAACTGGCTGGACAAGTTAACACACAGACATTTAGTTATGTGATTCTTCTCCATCCTTAGGGAGAAATTTTCTAGTCATAAGCATTTACATTTTGTTTCCAGACTTTAAATTATTACTTTTGTGACTTCATACAGCAATTTAAAAATATGATATCCAAGGGTCCTTTAAGAAGTGACATCAGACTGGGCATGGTGGCTCACGCCTGTCAATCCCAACACTTTGGGAGGCTGAGGCGGGTGGATCACTTGAGGTCAGGAATTTGAAACCAGCCTGGCCAACATGGTGAAACCCCCTCTCTATTAAAAATACAAAAATTTGCTGGTCATGGTGGCGCACATCTGTAATCCCGGCTACTTGCGAGGCTGAGGCAGGAGAATCACTTGAACCTGGGAGTCAGAGGTTACAGTGAGCTGAGAACACACCACTGCACTCCAGCCTGGCAATAGAGTGAGACTCCGTCAAAAAAAAACAAAACAAACAAACAAACAAAAAACAACTGACATCGACAAAGATTTCATGACAAGGAGGTATAAGCATAATGAATACCTTTCGTGTATTTTCGTGTGTGTGTGTGTGATGGAATCTCACTCACTCTGTTGCCCCAGGTTGAAGTGCAATGGTGCCATCTTGACTCACCGCAACCTCTGCCTCACGAATTCAAGCGATTCTCCTGTCTCAGCCTCCTGAGTAGCTGGGATTACAGACTCGTGCCACCATGCCCGGCTAACTTTCGTATTTTTAGTAGAGACAGGGTTTCACCATGTTAGCAGGTTGGTCTTGAACTCCTGACCTCAAGTGATCCACCCGCCTTGGCCTACCAAAGTGCTGGGATTAAAGGTGTGAGCCACCGCACCCAACCCCTTTGTGTATTTTTTATCATTTCAAGTATTTGTGCCAATGACACATGAGGCATTGGAATTCAAAAGCATGAGAAATCAAGCAGAAGGGCTATGCCTTTTCAGAGAATTCAAGAATAACCCTCTTTGTATGCAATCTTAATTCATCTCCTAATGTCTCTGCAAAATGGTGCGATGCATCCTCTAAACTAAAATAAACTATGCAGAGAAGATTATTTCTTTGCTGATGCTATACTGAGGGATGGAATGGTGGCGGAGGTGATAGTACTGCATTCCTCGTATCCTCCCTAGTAAAAACAATCAAAAAGTTTGTTTATGAAAATTTGTGCCACTCTGGTCCTCAAATGGGCAGGATCCTGGCTGAAGAACTAGGCAAAGCAAGGCTGGAACGTTTGAACCCACCACGCCTTTTTCCCATATTACTGACATCCGATCTTCAACACCATTCACCCCATTGGGGATCTTGGTAAAATCATCCTTCCCAAGAGCTTTCTGGCAGGTGTTGAAAGTGCAGTTATCAGTCCCTGTTGTGGTTAGATCATCACTGTAAAAGAAAAAAACACGAGAGTGATGGGGTGAGTATACAGAACACGTTAGGAGGAAACTGCCATAACCTTTACTAATCTCCTGGCTCCCTTCTCAATTGAAGTCAGAAAAATGCAATGGAGAATGAACAGTTTTTTCAAGAACATATTTCATCCGTCTCCTGTCTCTATTCTAGGAAGCACCTTCAGACGACGCACTGATAGGAAGCGTGGTGCAAGACAGGTTAGGAAACCTGGCTTCTAAGCTCAGCTCCGTCACTTACTAGCTCTGTGATATGAGCTTGTCCAAGACTCTGTTTCTCATCTAGAAATGAATAGTTATATGTACTTGATGAAGATAACTTCAGAATCACCAGCAAATATGTAAGAGAAAACTCCTTGTGAGCAGAATACTCCACAAAGACATCACCATGGTGATCCTCATGAATGGAGGGCAGGTCCTCCGGGGCAGTCCCGAGCCACACGGCCCACTGGAATGAACAGAGGGTGAGATTGGCTGAGGATGCTGATATTACCAGGGACAGGAATCCTGCTTTGACTCGTGAGTAATCTTGCGGATGTTGAATCATGAAGGAGGAAGGAAGCTGTAAAGAACAGGTAAGTAAACTCTTGTAAGGTCTGTCATGAAAACCTCTTAGCTTGAGACTGAGTATCTGTGAATGGGGAGTGTCGGGATGTCCATGAATGGTAGAATTTTCTTTTTTCTTTTCTTTTTCTTTTTTTCTTTTTTTTGAGACAGAGTCTTGCTGTGTCACCCAGGTTGGAGTGCAATGGCACTATCTCTGCTCACTGCAACCTCTGCCTCCTGGGTTCAAGTGATTCTCATGCCTCCGCCTCCCAAGTAACTGGGATTACAGTCATGAGCCACCATGCCTGGCCAATTTTTGTATTTTTAGTAGAGATGGGGATTTGCCATGTTCACCAGGCTGATCTCAAACTCCTGGCCTCATGTGATCCGCCCACTTCAGCCTCCCAAAGTGCTGGGATTACAGGCATGAGCCACTGCATCTGGCCCAAGAATAGTAGAATTTTCAAGAAAAATGATCATACTTTCTCAGAAAGTAACAGGGTCACCTACACAACAACCTAGTTCCCAGATTATATCAGCATAGAAAAAAATTCCACAATATTCTGATAAAAAGTAAAGCGTAATGAAGAGCCCTGGGTTTAGGCAACAAGAGATGAAAAAAGTCAGAAAAGAGTAAAGTTTCAGTGAAAGTGATCTGATTTCTGTGAGTCTAGGAAAGGCTTTAGCAACATATCATAGCATAACTAAGTCGATGTTTTTTGTTCTGCAGGTGAGGGTACCCAGGGCCTGTCAGGTCAAGTAGAAGAGAATACTGGGAGGTTAATGGAAGGTCCAGATGGGAGGACGAGCTCCCCTCCACCCAAACCTTCTTTTGGCAATACACTTCCCAGTCATCTGCAAAATGATTACTTAGCCAGTAGATTCATGAGGAAGTCGGGTGTTGAGGGGTCTGGTCGCAAAGGTGGACCCATGACATGGTGGGCGGCATGGTGCCATTCTTTATTCCAGTAGTGTGTGCCATCTGTGCCAAGACTGGCCGCTATGGGTTCGCCATAGACCACCTTCCCTGGAAAGATTAAAAGAAGCATTCATCACTTTAATTTATTCTTAAGAGGACCATATGACAAACACATAAATATTAATCTTTTCTGCCTTAGCAGAGGGTAATAGCTACAGTTTAGCAGAATCCCAAACTATAATTTACTTTTGTGGACAGGATTTAAAAATCCATGATGAACATAAATATGAATGAGAAACAAACCTCTGTAAGTGTAAGCTATTCATATTTTAGATCCATTTTTACGGCCATATAACTTAGCAAAAGCTGGCCGGTACAAGAGCCGTTCTAATGAAACCTTCTCCAAAACCCTACCAGATAAATGCTATTGTTATCTCCATCAAAGGATGAGAATAAAGCTATGGAGTAATAACTTCTCCACTCCATATGTACACTCCACTTACATACACTCCATGTGGTGTGGAGATGGTAGAATTTGAACCCAGGCATATTGACTCCAGTGGTCCTAACTTTTATGCTTTATTACCCTGATGACAGATAATTATTAGTTAGGTCATATGGAATTCAACCACAGCATATTTCTGCTGCAAATCAATTGATAATCTTTTCATGCCCTTGAAAAAAAGAACTCCTCAAAAAACTTGTATTAAATGAAAGAACACTCAGATAATAAATTCTTAGCCAGAAATGCATATTTTAAAAATCATGCAAATGAGGCCATCAAAAAAAGCATACAATGTTAGAAAAGTTAATAGTGAATTTGAATTTAAAATCAATCAGAATCCTATCTCTGATTAGCATTTGTCGAATAATAGTTCTGCTGGCATCAACCTGATCATATTCAGGCAATCATTAAGGAGAGTGCACAGTAGAGAGATGTTGGCATACCAAATTAGTTCACTCTGGTTCATTAGATGCTGAGTTTTAGTTAAAATCCTGATATATGACTGAAATTAACAGATTTCCTCAGAGAGTACTGACAGTAGATGGCCACCAGTTGACTGAGTCATATCAAATTGGAACACAGCACCCTATTATTTCATAGATCCTTCTCCGAACTAGCCATCTTCCACTAGCTAGGTTAGGAATTTGGAAAACCATGAAAGCAAGGCTTACTGAAGCCTAAGAACTTCAATTCTTAAGTAACCAATTATCAATAAAAGTTATCCCCCAGGGACTCAGCCATGGCTAAGTTACTTTGCTTCCGTGACATACCCTACTAGATGAATCCCGTCCCCATTTGGATTCTTACTGCCCTATCCCCAGAAAAGGAGAAACACCATTAGCAATTCTTTCTAAATATAGAATAAGCAGCAATCGTTTTCAGTGAATGAAGAGGTAATGTACTATCTACGGGAGAACTGGGAAGATGGACACGATATTTTATTTGCAAATATGAAGAGACCTTCCTATTCCAAGGGAACGTCTTACAGATGCTTGGACAAGGAAAACTCAGAGACTTGATCTGCAATCACTTTACAAGTTGCTGACTGAGGATTTTCCATGGTGCTTTATCATCGAGGAAAGATCCTTATCACATGTTCTATTCAATCACTTGGCCCATCAAGGTGATATGGGAATATGGTTCCAAAAGTCCTACAATTTTAACAGCACTCAGGAAAAATTAAAAGTGTCAGCATCTACCGGGAGTCTGCCAGGACTGTTTTGAAATCAGATGACAGGTAATTTCCTTGGAAGGGCTTAGCTCCTTTAAAATGTGACAGGCCACTTTAGTATATACAGCAAGCTCTTCGTTAACTGGGCTGTTTTCTACTTTCTCCCCATTTAGTATCTGTTAATATCCAAAATAAAATTTAAAAAGTGAAAATTCCTAACTGCATATTCTCTCTATTTTCTATTTCATTATTCCTAAGGCATTTTCAAAGGACTAAAAAGCATACAAGAACTAAAAAGGGGAAGGAAAACAGGAGGCCTGGATAATCCATAAATTGGATACTCAAACTGGATAATTCAGCATAATTATGGGTTCTGTTAGATTTGGGCTAAAAATAAAATAACAATAAAAATAGCTAACACATGCATACCATTCTATAGTTTGCAAGGCTCCCAAATACAATCTCATTTGACCTTCATAGTTGCCTTCATGCTGGTTTGACAGATGAAGAAATTGATGCTCAATGAGATTAATGTGCCCAGCACACACTGGCACTAAGTGGTACAGCCAGAATTAGAGTCATAGTATTATAATATCATATCATATGCACTATGTTACTAGGAAAAGTGCCATTTTTTATTTCTTGGGAAAGAGCATGTATTTCTAAATATTTAAGTCAACCACAGGCTATTTATGGATGTGGCTGAGCATTTTTCCAATCTCACTTACTGGTTTCATTTACTACACTTAGTTGGTTGGCAGTGAAGAGTGCTCTATCTGTCTTGAGCCTGGTACTATCCTGATTACATTCACAACTGGAGGGTTTCAACAACTCTTAGGAGATAGGAACATCTTCATCATTAATCTCCTCCCACTGTCTTAGCAAGCTTTACATTAGGTTGTATCTTGTCTACCCATAGATGTTCTCTCCTTAGTTCTCCATTTTTTGGCTCAAACCCAAACAAAGAAAAGCCTCTGCCCTTTATGATGTAACCTCCCACTTAAAGGAGTTTCACCATTTGAGAGATATTCAAGATTTCCCAGTAATGAGCAGGTCAAATCAATCCAAACTCTCCACTGACCAGATGACCCATTTATTAGATGACGGTGTTAGAGCAGATGTTAACACCTTGTCTGGATCTGCCAGCAACGCTTCCTATTGAGTCCTGAGATCTGCTAGAGAAGGTTGAAAAATGCAGAGAAAAAGCATAGGCATCCAGGAGCAAAAGCCCTGGCCACTAAATAGGAGGCCAAACATATTTATAGAAATCAGTCTTTCTAGCCAAAAGCATAGAGCCAAACTTTCCTGGACTTTATTTTAATTCCAAACATTACATTTACAAAGGAAGAAAAGAACTGAGAAGGAAAACACGTAGAAGCAGCTTGGTAGAATGGATCATACAAATTTAGGTTCAAATCCTGCTTTTGCTACTTTTTAGCTAGTGACATTGTACGAGGTAAGTCATTGCTCTTAGTCTGTTTTTCTCATCTGTGAAATGGGATCACAATGTCCCTCTAGTGGAGCAATTTTGTGAAGGTCAAATAAATTAATGTTTATGAAAGTACCCAGAATCTTCCTGGGACCCTGGAGACATTCCATGTTATGGGCTGAATTGTGTCCTCTGTACAAATCCACATGTTGAAGTCCTAACCCCTGGTACCTCAGAATGTAACTGTATTTGGAAAAAGGATCTTTATGGAGGTAGTAAATTTAAAGTGAGGTCATTAGGGTGGGCCCTAATTCAATAAGACTGTGGTTCCTATCTGAAGAGGAAATTTGGACACATATAGGGGAAGGTAACGTGAAGACACAGGAAGAAGGTGGCCATCCACAAGCCAAGGAGAAAAGCCTGGAACACATCCTTCCTCCACAGCTCTCAGAAGGAGCCAACCCTGCTCAACCCTGTTGTCACCTTGGTTTTGGACTTCAAAACTCCAGAACTGTGAGAAAATAAATTCCTGTTGTTTAAGCGGCCCAGTCTGTAACACTTTGTTACAGCAGCCGTAGAAAACTCATACACTCCACAAATGTTAGTTTCCTGATAGCCACACAATTCTATTTTTTTAATGGCCAGCTTTTAACTGCTATGCAATTTGATGTAATGTAAATCATCTTGTTCTAAATTTAAGGGACAATGGAGTGTTCTGATGTTCATATGCAAGAAAGAAGAAAGGCAGCCTGGCCAACATGGTGAAACCCTATCTCTACTAAAAATACAAAAAATTATCCAGGTATGGTGGTGCACACCTATAGCCCCAGCTACTTGGGAGGCTGAGGCATGAGAATCACTTGAACCCAAAAGGTAGAGGTTGCAGTAAGCCAAGGTCATGCCACTGAACTCCAGCCTGGGCATCAGAGTGAGACTCTTTTTCCAAAAAAAAAAAAAAAAGAGAAGAAAGGAAACTTGAGACTGAAAATCACCTTGACCCAGTGGCACATTGATTCTGCCTACAGCACTAGTGCCTAAACATCAGTTCACTGCACGCAAGTAAATGAAACTTGGTGTATTCTTGTTCAACACTGCCAAGCAGCACTCAGCGTGACAACTTGGGAAGAGAGGGGCCACTGTGTGGATTTTTCTCCCCATCTTCTAAAACACAAGAGGAATATATGGGAGTTTACATAAAGAGTTTACATAAAATGGAAAATAGGAATACCAAAGCCTCTGTTGACAAAAAGAGTCAAACTCTGTAAAATACTTGAAGAGATTTATTCTAAGGCAAATTTGAGTAACCAATGGCCTATGACACAGCCCTCAGGAGATCCTGAGAACATGTGCCCAAGGTGGCTGGGACACAGTCTAGTTTTATACATTTTAAGGAGACATGAGACATCAATCAAATACATGTAAGCATACATTGTTCTGGTCCAGAAAGGCAAGACAGCTCAAAGTGGGGGCTTCCTGGTTATAGGTAGATGTAAAAATTTTCTGATTGTCAATTGGTTGAAAAAGTTATTATCAATAGAAAGAAATGTTTGGATTATGATAAGGGGCTGTGGAGACCAAAGTTTTATCATGCAGATGAAGCCTTCAGGTAGCAGGCTTCAGAGAGAACAGATTGTAAATGGTTTTTATTAGACTTAAGGTCTGTGTTGATGTTAAATGCTGATCAGCTTTTCCTGAATTCCAAAAGGGAGGAGGACATAATGAGGCATGTCCAACCCTCCCTTCCCAGCATGGCCTGAACCAGTTTTTCAGGTTAACTTTGAAACACCCTGACTGAGAGGAGAGGTCCATTCAGATGGTTAACGGGTCTTAGAATTTTATTTTTGGTTTACACCTCTCTGCAAGAGAACTTTTTATTTTACAAAGACACGCCTATTAAGTAAAACTTTCTATTATAAGCAAAACTAAAGCCAAACGAAATCAAATCAAATGAACAACAATCAAATATACAAACACATTAAACAACCACAATCTAGCCCAGTTTA